GGGTAGGTTTTTATCATCGCGGATTGTGGGAGACCCTCGCCATGCGTGTAACATAGGGGGACACTTTTTCTGCAGTTTTCTGTCTGGATTCAAAGTGAAACTGTAGAACTAAGGACAATTTAAAGGTGAAATAGTATCCAGAAATAACTTAATTTTCTTTTCTCTAATTTTTGGATGGTGTACACAGAGGCAGTTGTGGGATCGTCCACGTAGCACAGTGTTAAAACTGGAAGCCATTATTTCTAGCATTCCCTTCAAAGCCATCAGCCGGAATGCGACAGAGAAATACGAGGCTTTTAACTATAACACGAGTGGAGCAGGCACACAGGCTGGGCTGACAAAACGTCACGGGCAATTTTAAAAGATGTGTATTGTACCAGTGGAGGCTGACAAGATGAAAAAATTATAAAAGCACATTACGACATAAATCCTTTTATCTTCACCCTCGTGCAGGTGAAGTAACTTGCGTCCATGCCTGGAATCGTACGTACTACACGCATGTGAGTATGCGTGTATTTTGTGAGCATGTGGAGCGGTGGCGCAGTAGTTGGCGTACTGTGCTGTGAACCCAGCCGTCTGAGTTCGATTCCTGCCCATGGCCAACATCAGTGATGAATATTTGAACCGGTCCTGGGCCTCCCCTAGGTCGATTCAACCTCAAATGCGTATATTGTGTGATGTGTAAACATCGTTACTAGGGAGACAAAGGCAGCCAGGTGTCGTGCTGACCATTCACGCCTCTCAGGATGCCGTGCCAGCCTTCATAGGTGCTCACTAGCATCACTTGCCCCAACAGTCTGTTGAGGGCATAAGGAGAATCTTTGTGCGTGTGTATGGAGGATGGTATGACGCTCAGTAACAACATGCAACATATCATTGACCCATGTTCAATGTCTCGCCATGCGCACTCGTGGCACTCGATATCAACTCAGATCAACGTCATAAGCATTGGGGAGACAAAGGTGGGTGGCGGGCGGTGATATCCCCACGATTTCCTCATGCTGTGTGCGCTCTTCATAAGTGCTCGATAACGGCTAAGGGTGGTCGCGCATGTGCGGGTTTTGTATGCGCGCGTGGCTCTCCAGGTGTACATGACTGGACGTGGCTACGTAAGATGTACGTAGGTATGAAACCCCTGCCCCTGTCTCGACGATTCGCTTATCTGAGACCACCCGAGATGGAAGCTTTAGATGAACACTGCCAGCTGAAAATGCATTTCCCATTCATCTTTTGCCAATGGGATGTACTTTTCTGGGGAAAACACATCACGCTGTATCAGGCCCCCACCGCGCAACTGCAGTCAAAGCCCTTTCATGGACTTGACAGGCAATGCATGACCTTTCAGATAAATTGGCATAATCGGAAAACTGAAGCATCTTGTTAAAGCAACCATGCACTGGGCTTTCCATTAGCCCATTCAATTTACGTGTCAGCCGCACAAAGGCTGCAGTGAGGATTTTAAATCTCGGCTCCACAAATTGCCGACTTGAGACAGCAGAATGCTTTTTGTGATTTTTCTGCTTTTTTAATTTACGTTTTGTAGGGAGACCATTTTTTTATATTCTTTATCCCTTGAGTTGCATTTTCTTACGAACTGGACATGCCAGTCGCCTTTGCCAGGTTTTCGGGATAAGTCGCTGTCCTTGCCCTTCATCCGGTATGTCACTGTCAAAGCGTAAGGGACTGCGTGGGCAGTGGAACACAAGAACAAATGCAGAGGTTCACGGTTCGATTCCAGCGGTCATCCCGATTATTCCTGCTGTGGTATTAACCGCCGTGATAATACTCACTGTCTGCTTCACAGCTGACGTTATAGTTCCACATTCGAAAATCACCTGCAAATTTCTCAATTGGGATTGCACATACTAATCATCGCTTCCGACTGGCAAACGCGCCCATTAGGGGTATGGCTCGTGCTGGTGGCTGGTAGGTTCGTGTTAGAGCTAGTGCGAGTGACTGGGTGGCTAGTTCATTCGAGGTAGGAGTAGAGATAGCACTAGTGGCTGGTTGGCATGGCTAGTACTTGTCGCTGGTAGGTTACGCCGAGTATCAGTGGCTGGTTGGCTAGTTGGGTAGCATTAGGACGAGGGCTCGCATTTGATTGGCGAGCGTGCTGCACCACCTCCTGTCCGTGGCCATGTCAGTTAGTGTTTCTAGTTGCCTACACTCTACAAGAGTACGGGTTAAAGAACGAGCCTTCCGTGGGGTCGTGCCACCGCCGGCTGCCAGACAAATCCGTCAACACCGGCGTCCCAACATAGGTGGTGTGCGCGTCTGGTCACAGAAAAAAATATTTTATGGTGACCGTCTAGACATTCCAAGGCCCTCCCGTGCATCATTATATCTCCAACCACAGGCCACCGCCTGACCGCTGGCTCGTCGTGGGGTGGTGGTGGCGCTGTAGCTCTGCCGTCCGCGTGTTACGATGTGATACCATCTGCTGGTACAACGTTTGCTCGTACTGCCATCAATGCCGCTGAAGTGGACAGACATATTGTCTGCTTATATATGTTTATATCCGCTGGTGCACGGCAGAGACTGATAAAGTCAAAGCAGCATATCCCAGAATTTGAGTGGCTGCTGCTGTCGTGCAAGCTACGGTGCCTTAGCCTGAGTGACTCAGCACGTTAAATCTTGAAAGTATCAATGCACTGGGTCGTGCTAGCTCGATGTGAGAACAAGAAACAGATATTGGATAAGTACTGAAGCTGGAAAGACCGTTAGGTCGCAATCCGATGCCAGAGCACGCTAGTTGACCAAGCAATGGTCACAAATCGAACAAACTTACTATGCAGATACTAGCAATTGCCTCCCAAGGGGTCAGCTGTCCAAAAACCTCAACTGTTATAACTCCTATCACCGATCAAATGAGCACCAGTATTAACTTTAACTTTCATCTGAACCACCTAGCCACCCAAGCACTGTTTGCACCCTAACTTTAACCAACTAATCCTTCAACTGACGAACTAACACTGGTACTATCGCTTTCACTGACCGAAACCCTAGCAAAAATGTTCGATCTCCAATCGTGGTTGTGGAGGAATATTCTAAACAAAATAAATAAATAAACATACAATGCGTCTCCATATATCAGTCCCTCCACAAGATAACCACGCAGCTACTTCTTGGCTACCTTGTCGAGAAGTAGCGTGATTGTCATGGCCCCCAGTGCAAGGAATTAATGGGGCTCCACCAGCACACTCTCAGCAGCTACGCGGCTCAATGCCCCCCACGGCTCTCCGCGCACTGTCTGCAGCATCACGTGCGCTGTAATTACACTTTGTAGGCCATATATATGTTTATGGGTTGTAAAATATTGCCAAGCAATGTGTGCAGATAAAACAAATGTTGTTTCATGCAGACGAGGTTTAATGTTGCTGAGATTCAAATGATTTAATCTGAAATTTAAATGCTTTCATCCCTCGCGGCTGAAAATAACGCGCTCTTTACAACCCCGATTAGAGTCCCCACGTGCAGCTGCCACCGTTTGGCCAGGTGGCCGTTTGTGGTGCCAAATATACTACTGGCCAGGTGTCTCTGGGTTGTGTACAGATACCCCCACAGGTGATTATATCTTGCGCCCCCCACCTCTCCACCCCTCATGCCTATACGTATAAAGCATATTGCGGTCACTGTTTGTTGCTTCGCATAATGCCGTATTTTGCATTAATCAAAGCTGAAATGTCCCTGCTGAGCTTCTGGACATGGGGAAATGTAATTGGGCCCTTCTGTGTGTGGGTTTTTTTTCTCAAGTTGTCATGTGCAGTTTAAGTCACACATTGGGAAAGTTATATCGAATTATACTTTCGTTGATCCGTGCAGCAAAAACGCAGGCAAGCAATTGTCTCCCCAGGGCTCGGCTGTCCAAACACATACTTCAATCAAAGTGGCCATGGGCATGCTGGCCATTAACCTCAGCCAGAATCGCAGACTCACAAAGTTCCAGTCTGAGCCGGCTTTAGCTCTCGTTCGGCTCTGCCCAGCACGTGGTCACGGAGCGTTCTGCTTTGCAATACTCTGTGCAAGACTGACCTCTGGAGTAGGGAAATATTCCAAAGCCGCAGTGACCACTTGGTCACACGGATTGACAATACCCCCCAACCCTGCCAGCAGTGTATACCCTCCGGTGATTTGAATGAAAACAACTAAATAGATAGTACTGCAATGTGCAGCTCTTGACAAGCCACTGCTGGATGAAAGGCCTCCTGGGACTGTGCCAGACACACTGATCAATGGAGGTTGGTGAAGTGGCGAGGCCCAGGGCTGGTTCAAATATCACTCGCCGCTGATGTTAGCCGTGGCTTGGAATCCAGCTCGTAGCATGGCTCGTAGTATGGCGCGTGACCCGTTGCGCCACCGCTTCACCCCATGGTATTTTGGCCAAACATCCCAATGTTGGAAAATCACCTGCAAATTACTCAACTGGAATCACACGTGGGAACATGCACCCCCACCCCACCCCCCTACTGCGAATACTTTTCAGGACCCTCTTGAAAAAGAACATCCTGAAAAGGGAAGCTTTCTTCGGTCCATAAGCATAACAAATAAATACACCGTGAGTACGGGAAGTGTATACATATCACCAGGCAAGGGCACAGTTGTGCGTTTGGCCCAGGGTTGTGCTCAGCGTGGGTTTGAGATTTGCCAAGAGCTAGATCCGGCGTAGAGGGGACAAGTCAGGGTCAGAGCAGACAAAGGCGTGAGGTTGAGCTCCAGGAGAGCATCCCAAGTTTCAATTTTCATTTATTTGGTATAGCCCTGTGAGCCATGCGGCTCTTAAGTCGGGGGCAAACCGCAACAACGGAGAACATCTTAAAGCGACGACGCGCAAAACAGCTGGGGTCACGGTCACCTTAGGTAGATCAAAGGGTAGGGGTCAAATGTCATTCCGGATGATGTAATTATTCCTGGGCGAAGGTCATCCCAGGTTGGGTCCAGGTTTCACCGGGAGGGGGTTCACCAACGTCGTTGCCCTGTCGATTGCGTTGATCGGTGCCGCTGTCCGCCAGCGCCACCTAGAGGGCAGTGGAGGCGAGGAGGAGGAGGCGGCGGCACGGCCTCTACAGGGGGAAGAGGAGCCATGGTGGACAAGCGGCGCGAGTCCGGTGAGGGCAGCCGCTCTCACTCTGTCCCTCGCTCACTCACTCGCCCTCTCTCTAACTCGCTCACTCACCCCTCTCTCTAACTCACTCACTCACCCTCTTTCTCCTCTCTCACTCACTCAGCGCTCGCCGCTCACGCAGTCTCACTCCTCCTCGTCGTCGTGCCCCGACCTCTCTCCCCGCGCCGCTTCACGCAGCCCCGCGGCAACAGCCGCAATGAATGGAGTCCAGTACAGTGCCACGCGACTGTAGCGTGCGTGAGGGGTGTACTGTACCGTGTGTTTGTGTGTACTGTGCGTGTGTACTGTACTGTGTGTGTACTGTGTGTGAGGGTGTACTGTGTGTGAGGGGTGTACAGTGTGCGAGGGGTGTACTGTACTGTGCGCGTGTACTGTACTGTGTGTGTGTACTATGCGTGTGTACTGTACTGTGTGTGTGTACTGTGTGTGAGGGGTGTACTGTGTGTGTACTGTGTGAGGGGTGTACAGTGTGTGAGGGGTGTACTGTACTGTGTGTGTGTACTGTGCGCGTGTACTGTACTGTGTGTGTGTACTATGCGTGTGTACTGTACTGTGTGCTGTGTGTGAGGGGTGTACTGTGTGTGAGGAGTGTACTGTGTGTGAGGGGTGTACTGTATGTATTGTGTGTGTGTACTGTGTGTGTGTACTGTGCGTGTGTACTTTACTGTGTGTGTGTACTGTGTGTGAGGGGTGTACTGTGTGTGAGGGGTGTACTGTGTGTGAGGGGTGTACTGTATGTGAGGGGTGTACTGTATGTGTGTATTGTGCGTGTGTACTGTGCTGTGTGTGTACTGTGCGTGTGTACTGTACTGTGTGTGTACTGTGTGTGAGGGGTGTACTGTGTGTGAGGGGTGTACTGTATGTGTGTATTGTGCGTGTGTACTGTACTGTGTGTGTACTGTACTGTGTGTATACTGTGCGTGTGTACTGTACTGTGTGTGTGTACTGTGTGTGAGGGGTGTACTGTGCGTGAGGGGTGTACTGTGTGTGAGGGGTGTACTGTATGTGTGTATTGTGCGTGTGTACTGTACTGTGTGTGTACTGTGTGTGAGGGTGTACTGTGTGTGAGGGGTGTACTGTATGTGTGTAAATTGCGTGTGTACCGTACTGTGTGTGAGGGTGTACTGTGTGTGAGGGTGTACTGTGTGTGAGGGGTGTACTGTATGTGTGTACTGTGCGTGTGTACTGTACTGTGTATGAGGGTGTACTGTGTGTGAGCGTGTACTGTGTGTGAGGGGGTGTACTGTATGTGTGTACTGTGCGTGAGGGGTGTACTGTGTGTGTACTGTATGTGTGTACTGTGCGTGAGGGGTGTACTGTGTGTGTGTACTGTATGTGTGTACTGTGCGTGAGGGGTGTACTGTGTGTGTGTACTGTGTGAATGTGTTTGTCTACCCTCGCTGCTGTGTGCGAGCGTGTACTGTGTGTGACCTGTACCGTGTGTGTGTACTGTGTGTGAGGGTGTACTGTGTGTGAGGGTGTACTGTGTATGTACTGTGTGTGAGGGTGTACTGTGTGTGAACGTGTACTGTGTGAGGGTGTACTGTGTGTGTGTGTACTGTGTGTGAGGGTGTACTGTGTGTGAGGGTGTACTGTGTGTGAGGGTGTACTGTGTGAGTGTGTACTGTACTGTGTGTACTGTGTGAGGGTGTACTGTGTGTGAGGGGTGTACTGTGTATCTCACCGTGTGTGCTGTAGTCTGTGGGGGTATGCTGTATCTTACCGTGTGTGCTGTAGTCTGTGGAGGTATGCTGTATCTTATCGTGTGTGCTGTAGTCTGTGGGGGTATGCTGTATCTCACCGTGTGTGCTGTAGTCTGTGGGGGTATGCTGTATCTCACCTTGTGTGCTGTAGTCTGTGGGGGTATGCTGTATCTTACCGTGTGTGCTGTAGTCTGTGGAGGTATGCTGTATCTTATCGTGTGTGCTGTAGTCTGTGGGGGTATGCTGTATCTCACCGTGTGTGCTGTAGTCTGTGGAGGTATGCTGTATCTCACCGTGTGTGCTGTAGTCTGTGGGGGTATGCTGTATCTCACCGTGTGTGCTGTAGTCTGTGGAGGTATGCTGTATCTTATCGTGTGTGCTGTAATCTGTGGGGGTATGCTGTATCTCACCGTGTGTGCTGTAGTCTGTGGGGGTATGCTGTATCTCACCGTGTATGCTGTAGTCTGTGCATGGGGAGCGGTAGTGTAGTGGCTAGCGGAGACCCGGGTTCGATTCCCGTTCACGGCGAACACCGGTGACATGTTAACCGGTTCTGGGCATCCTCTAGGTCGACTCGGCCTCAAATTAGAGACAAAGGCGGCCGGGCGTGGTGCTGCCCACCGACCCCTTCGTGTGCCGTGCCGGCCTCCATAGGTGCTCGCAAACAGCACTTGCCCCAACAGTCTGTTAAGGCTATACGGGGGATCTTTGTCTTTTTGTAGTGTGTGCTGTGTACGTGGCTTTGGTGAGGGTTTGTACTGTGGGGCTTTGTGCGCATTATGTAACAAATCCTATTTGGGGCCATCCATTTAGTACGTACGCATAGAGTGGGAGGGAGGTTAACCCAAATGCGTACGCATGCGTTTGGGGAAGTCTACTAACAATAGGAAACGGGGGGGGGGGGGGGTGAAGCCTCGATAATAATAATGCAGCCGGCGGTAGACTATCTGTTTGCGTAAACACGTTAATATTATTAATAATCCTTGATCGTGTCTGCGTGGATTAAATATTGGCCATTCTATAGGATTCGGCGCGGGGGGGGGGTGCGTCAGGCGTACGTACGCAGGTTTGGGGGGTAAAAGTCCACGTGCGTACCGGGAGGGGGAGAGGGGTCAAGTTTTGACAGATTTTTGGGTACCTAATACATCGATGTCCCTTTTATAGTCTTAGCTTCTCATTGTGACTGTAATGCTCCTTGCAAAAGCAGACCTCGACTATTACATGGTGCAGCATTTATAAGTGAGGTTATTTCGCTGGCTTCCTCATCAAATCTTCACGGAGTCCCACGACTTTTTTTCATGAGGGTCCCATCAAAATGCGTCGAAGTCCGGGGTACGATGTTGCTGCTGCTGCTGCGTATGATACCATTTTTCAGAATTCAAATGTTTGGTCAATACCAGTTACATTGTTTAGGTTTTTTGTTCGCTGTGGGAGGTAAGCCTGGAGGAAATCCACGCACGAACAGGAGAAACATACAAACTCCGTAGGGAATCAAACCCAGGGGCATCTTGCTGTGTGAGGCGTGATTGTTACAACTGTGCTAGCCACCCTGACTTGTGTTAATTGCACTGTGGTATGGGTAATGAGACCTAGATGTCTGCTGTTAGCTTTCATTTTACTCAACAATTAGCTTTTTTGCCCCTCTCGGGCATTATTTTGAAATGCAACTTTTGACGCGCAAGTCTGTGATCACTTCCCGTGGTAATTGTGATGAGGTGAGAACCGTCTCTGGAATTTATGTGCGTATGTTGAACTTCTTTCGCACCATACGTAGCCATCTGTGCAGTGCGACAACCCTCCCAGAGTCTAGGGTTTGTCTGTGAGAATCAAGTCAATCTCGTTCCTTCACCATTTGGGCTCCTCCATGTCAAACTTTACGAGATTCCATCTTTTTGACAAATGTGCTCATTATTTTTTTTATAACTTTGCTGGCCATGAACTCTAACAGACTCTCATGTGTGACAATGGCCAATATGCAGAACTTAATTTCGCCGGTAGCCTGGAGTAGGCATGACCAGTAACTATCACGAGAGGTATCCTGGATGTGGTGTGCCAAGCGTGGAAATATGTTTTGAATGATTGAACCGGCTTGCATTAAGCCTCGATTATAGTAACTAGGGGATGTTGTCATGGTGTAATGGTTATCACACTGAACTTGAAATTCGATCTCCCTGTGCAGCAGTTGAAATAATGGCGCAAGTTTTTCAATTCCCCCCGCCTCCGTCCACCCAGCAGTATAAATAGGAGACTGCTCTGTCAATCGGCAGGTCGCTCACGGTGGTGTAAAGAGTGAGTACCTCTACCAAGACACCTGGCCGGTGTGTCAGCAGTGACGGGGGCAGGCAATTGACGGGATGAATGACTACCTTTCAATATAGGACTGTCTTCTGGTTGTAAGGGTTTGCGCTGGGCTGCATTGGCGACTGACCCCTCCCATGCGTGTGGGCACTGCAGGACGACAGCAGGAGGCCAACCAGCGGCGGGTACTGGACCAGGCGACACGGCAACGGCGCATCAACCGGCAGCTGGAGGCGTTGGAGAAGGATAACTTCCAGGAGGATCCGCAGGCGAGCCTGCCGGCTGTGAGCACCAAACGCCTGCCACAGTTCAGCGATGACACGCCAACAAGTACAGCAGCAGCAGCAGCAGCGACCTCGCTGACCTCAGCGCACACACACGCTCACACACCGTGGGCACTCACACACCGTGAGCGGTGACAAGCTTCTGAGCGGTGACAAGCTTCGCGGTTTGAATGTGGAAGGCCACCGTGGTTCATACTGCAGTTGTAATTCATCGTAAAATACTATGCGCAAACTACTTCACCGTCAATGTTAAGGATCCTCCTAATGTAATTCGAAACGTGTTCCTGCATCATGGTCCAAATGATCAAAATAAAAAAATAACCCGCAAACTACTCAGTTGGGATTACACGTAGCAATCATCCTACCCTACTGGCAGACTAATGCCGACTTGCAGCTCAGGTGCTGAGTCGCCTTGTACCACATAGGGACAGCTGCCACTGGGGGTGCCCTGCCAAAAGTTTGAGATAAAATTTCCTGTAAGTCACTTTCGTGCTCTGAGACAATCCAGAATAATGGGCGCTATATAAAACATATCATTATTACCACACACACACACACACGGTTATGTGTAACCTAGGAAGTAGCCTGGCACGGTTGGCATGCGCCATGGTGCAAGGAATTAAATGAGGCCCCCCCCCCCTTCCAATTTTCCTTCCTCTTCATATCTCGGTACCCAGCATCCTCTGGTCCGTGTGCCTGCACACTCAATAGCTGATTGATTCACTGCAACATTGATTTTATTCATTACTTGGGTAACGTCGGTGACAAACGGTATCAGAATTTGTCATGGGCCTCCTGTGAGGCCTGACCCGGCATTAGGAGAGGGCTATCAGGGCTGCTGTTGCCGAGACTCAAAGCTCTTTCGGGCAACAACATTCGAATACAGAAAAAAGTAATCGTTGATCCATACATTTTTTCACTCAATCGCTACTCATAGGTAACTTCATATGCCAATTTTAAACTGTTCATCGGTAAACATTTTTTTATTGTTATTCTTATCAGGTTCCCACGGCATAAAGTGCCATCTCCAACCTTTACACACTCTGTCTCTCTGGCCTCTTTATGTGCTATGAAGTAGGGCCATTGCCCAAAACGTCACCTATTATATACCTTTTTCATTTAAAGGCCACATTTTTTGCGACGAATGTGAGGTTTTTTTGGTTAATTGTGCTTGTGCAAAACAGCAGCATCACCAAAAAAAAATGTGTCGAATTTGTTTTATGTGGTTTAAGCCATGTAGTTATAACTGAATGTAATAGCATGCTTCATAAGGCATGCATATAATAGGTAACACACACAAACACTGTCACATGACAGATAAATGACAACAAATGAAATCGTGATAATAGCTGGAGGGTTACTCGTAATGGGTGATACATTTGTTTTGCTTGCCGTAGCTGCCATTGGTGTTAGGTAGCCTCAGCCAAGGTCCACTCACCTGCAACGTTGTGTAAAGACCAGCACTATGGAAGCAAAAGGGAAGACACATGGCTATTGTCACACCACAGTGACTCGTGTGCTGTGCGAGCCTTATTTGGTGCTCACTGTGCCTACACAGGGGGTCTTGTTTTGCTTTGTGACAAGACGACCGTGTGCTGTAGTCTACATGAGGAAGTGAACAACACACATACCATTCACCGGCCCTTAATGTGTTATGACGGGCACTGGGTTTGAGATTTTTTTGTATTCTTGTGATGCTTTAAAATCGTCACATGTAACGTGATGACTCGTGTATAATGAGATCAAAAGCCTGAATTCTATTTTAAAGCTAGCAATGCGCCGCCACCAATTTGCCAACACTGTCCGTAGAGATGTACATAAAGATGTGAAGTGACTTGAGCGCACACGCAAATAAATGTACATCTCAGGAGATTAATTATAGGATACATTGTGCTCTCAAAAATGCATAAATATTAAAGGAAACATGTGTGTCTATAAAAACCATAGGCATCTTAAGTTCAACACTTGTAAAAAGTGGTTCATATATGAGGAATGTTGCAGACACTGAGTAAGCCATGCATTGTAAGGTAAATGTGGCATGTAATGTTGTGCAACGACTTGTTATTTTAAAAGCAGGGCCACATGCAGTCTGCTTGGTCGAGTGTGGCTCCGACAGTCTTGTTTAGTGTCCGGAAATGTCGGTTTTCAAAACTCTACTTTTGAATGACAAATGTGTACGGTGATGCTTTTTTAAGGTGGATCTTTTATTTTTACCTATGCAATTCCCACACAAATTGGAATTCTATCAAATGTTACTCTATGCGCAAAACATACTGTATGACCTCAGCGCCACGATGTAGACACCTCCCATCTGCCACAGCCAACAAGAAGAAAAAGAAGACCAGAGGGGAGCACTTCAAACAGCGCTTCCGCAAAACCTTCCAGACGCTGCTGGAGGAAGAGGTGAGCTCGCACGTCCGCCTCCTCCCCAGCCCCCCAGTATGGCGGACGGTGCTTCCCTGATCAGCTGAAACATCTTTGTTCGCCATTTTTCATCAGCGCTCGCACGTCGAACCCCCGCAAACCCCCCCAGGGGGTTACGCGCGTGACTCTCTTCCCCCACCCCCTCCTTGCCCTTTCTCAGAACTTGAGCGTGAGCACAGAGGCCAACTACCTTACATCGTGCGTGCCGGCGTCGAAGCTGCCTCAGCGCCACTTCTGCGTGGTGTGCGGGTTCCCGTCGCCGTACACGTGCGTGACGTGCGGCGCTCGCTATTGCTGCATCAAGTGCCTTGGCACCCACCGTGACACCAGGTGACTGCCCTGCGGTGCCATCAGAAATGAACACACTCGCCAATACGGTGCTTGTGTGGTTTTGCCGGGCAGCTCGGTGGTCGCAGCGCTGAGCTGGCGCCGCCGAGACCCCGAGTTTGAATTCAGAATTCACCCGCCCGTGATTAAACTGGGTTCTCAAGTGTAGTGAGTTGAGATTTCAGCCCGATTACCGATGATTATAAAAAAAAAACAACATTCAATTTGTTTTTTTTTCATTTAATTTGGCAAAATTGCAGCCCTGATATTTCAAAACGTGTATTAGAGTGCCATGTGATGTAACATTTGTTGTACAGGCCACTTGTAAAAAAGCAATGCCCCTGGTCTGGATGGGAGGTCGTTTAAATCGATACCAGAAGTAGTTCTGCGATATCATCTTGCTTATGTCATTTTGTAACATGGGGCTGATGCACTGCTCTGCCAGAGATCTTCATGGATACGTTGTCTCATGACATAGTTCAAAGGGAACTCAAACTGCAGAAAAGACAAAACATTTTTAGAAAAATGAATGTGACATTTTTTGGCACTTTCTGTACCTCAGTATTATTATCTGCTGTTTGTACAACTTGGTATATATATTTTTTGTCTTAAATGGCTTTTTGATTAATTGAAAGCATTGGAATATTGTCATTCCTGGAGAATCAAATGCCTGAAATCAGGAGGTGACTGTTCAGGGTAGATATTTGTCCTCAGTGTGGAGCCTCATGTTGACCCCACGGCCATTCTTTGCCCACGCAGGTGCCTGAAGTGGACGGTCTAAAGATGGCAGCCACCAAAACGGAGAGTGGCCACTGCAGGCCCGTATGACGTCTCGGCCGCTGCAGATGCGTGACGTGGACGCTATTACCCCCCTCACGAGCCCCTCCACACAATCCTTCCCCTGTGCTGATAACAATCCCAGTGTTGGCTACCGGTGCGCCTCCTCTTACCCTTACCCACCGTCACCCGGTCAGTTCTGCACCACGGGATGTAAAACTGGCGGGGTTGAGGACCGGGTGACTGAAGTAAAGGGGGGGCAGGGATTAGTGGAAGGGCTTCCATCCCGAGAGGAGCACCGCGAGCCTCTTGGCATGCACGCCTGTGCCCCACGGTGTTTTCTGAGAAGCGCTTCTCCGCATTTCGCTCGTACCAAATATACAGCACCTGTAGCCGATGCGCAACACACAGCATGGCGATACTGTAGAATGTAACCGTCGAGAGGAGCCTACGTCTCATAGAATGCGGTGTCCATATCTGCATGCACTGGCTGACGCACAGCGCTGATGTTTGCTAAGCATCTATGGCTGCAGCGATCCCACGTCGTACGTTATCGCCCGATACTTGAAGAGGTCTGCACATCCCCATAGTTGTTCACTTTGCCAGTTGTCCGAGCGTGCGGCGCACGCATTCACTGAGCGAGACACGGCATGGAAAGGCTGCCCTCGGCAAGCCTGCGTGGTGTGGGGAGGACGTCGGTTGGCCTCCTCCATGCCATCTTTCACCGCAGGGTTTTGTCTGCGCCTGCGGAGTCATTCGTGCCTTTAGGCCGGATTGTTGCACCGCGCCATATGCACCGCGAGCTTACGACGGGCGGTGTGATTGAAAATACCTGTGTGGGGTTGGGTGCCGAGTGTTCACGCTCTCTCCCTCCCTGAGTGCGTGCTGAGCAGCACTGTGAGCTCCCAATCCCCCGCTCAGATCCCCATAGCGATGCCACGACAACACAAAACTTATCGTCCGTGTGCCTGGCCGGCCGTTATGTGAGCTTATACATGTAGATTTTTGTAATCCTGCGTTAAACTTGAAATCTTGCTACACGGAAGGCAGCGCGTACTGTGGTTGTCGCCTTCAGCTGTACTGTTGCATTATGGTCACGTCATTGGTCTGTGAGGAGATGGAGCTGAAATGTGATGTTGAGCAATGAAACTCTTTGAGTTTTATCAATCTTCCAGCTGCTATTAGTTTCAGGGATGCATATGTAAAGCTGCTTTGCGCTTGGTATAAATATGTATACTCTGTGCCTTATCCATGGTTTTGCTTACATATAGCGAAGCCTTTGCCCATTCTCCGAATTGAGGCATTTCTCCTAAACACTGACCAATATGTTTTTGTTTCATTTAAATGGAAACTCCTGCAATTCCTTTTCTGTAGTTGAAAAAAATTAAACTTTCAAAAATATGGCCCGTCTGGAGTGTGTTGGCGTACAGCGTGTTGGTACGTAGACCAGGCCCGGGGCCAGCTGCTTGTGGTTGGGTGGCCAAGAGAGCTGTTGTGTGGAGGCTACCTGAGCAGTGATTCACCACGAAGGAGAGTGAATGTAGGTGGCCAAAGGGTGCATTCGGTATATTGGCAGTATACACCAGTGCAGCATAACACACCGGTCCTCATAAAACAGTCTGAATCAATATTTGAACTGACATTCGTCTTCTGACTGCTTCGACATCACAAGAACTGATTTTGAATCGCCACCACCCCCGCAAGGTTTCGATATCGCGGGAAAATAATGATTGCGCAAAAAAATCCACGTTTTTTTTAATACCGTGCACTGGATTACTGCCAAAACGTTCATTTGGTGGTGCAAAGCTTACCCAGGCACCCCCCTAGCGCCGTCCCTGATGCGTGTGTATTTGATTGGTTTATAAATGGTTTATACGTTTGAAACAATTGCCTGCAAATTACAAAATTGGAATCTATATAGCAATCATTCTCCCCCACCCCCCTTCCCCCATTGTTCAAACTTGGCAAGATGCTTTGGAAGCTGGGAGTTGGGATTAGCTTTGTCAAATAAAGAATAATCAGAATCACATGGAAGGATGCGGATCATTAGTGGCACAAACCGCTGAAGATGGCTTCAAAAAGGAGTTGATTTGTAACCGATTTGAGGGATATTTTTTTTTAGGCCATGGACACTTAGTACACGTTGTAACCAATGACCATCAGCAATGTTCTCGTGTTTCTATTTGGCTTTGGCGTGGCATCAGTCGCAAAGTTCGACAACCAAAAGTGCCGAGTCGAATATTTAGAAGCGCGTCAATATGCATTTAATCCGATAAACGTCAATTCGAGGTTTCGAGCAGTGTGGCAGTGATTACGTCGTACACTACTAAAGGCAAGGATAGTAGGCACATCAGGCCTACAACGCATGACCCAGGAGTACTTATCAAGAGCTTGTAAACTGACACACTCATTTTTAATATTAAGTCCCCTCTCTTTAGGTCCATATGTCCTTTTGGTTCAGAGAGAGGGCCCTAGTGGCACAGACCTGTCATTGAGGGTGCCTGCTTCTAGCTTCCAATTTTTCCCCGACAGTGACTCGAACGTTGGTGGACCTCGTCGGCTTGTGAAAGTCTCAAATCCACCGAGCTGCGAGGTGGCAGTACAGCAAGTGGGTTCGTGAATTCATCTGCACAGTCACCGAGGTGTTACGCGCTTCTATGCGTTCGGTTATCTCGGCAATAATCCGATTTCTTTCGCACGTGCAAAAAGATTGCTTGCAATGGATTCTGCCGACCATCTCACTGCAGAGAGCCGTTCTTAACAAGAGGCGATTCTCTGTGAGAATTGCCTGCACTCATGAATTACTTTGCTCTGGAGCATTACCATTCATGGTGTGCACCGTGCACACATGATGGCTCTTGCTGTGCTTTATTGCACGCTGTCAATTCATTTTTTCTCTAATTTTAAGGTGTGAGGTGTCTGTCCCAGTTGTATCGCAGCTGTGATTTAATGGAGTGCGAGACAAATTTATAGGAACACAATTTAGCACCAAGATAAGAGAATCTGATTATGGAAACATCAAATGAATTCAGCTTATCTCGCTACTGAGTAAACACCGAAATGTTTAACTGAAATTAATAATCGCTTACGTGGCTTTACATCAACGGCGCAAAATGTGCAGCTTCGTGTGAAGTGCAAAACGGCGTTACATGAGCATCCTGGAGAAGGATGGCGCGCGTTTACTTCAAAAATAAAGAGAGAGAAACAGTCGTGGGCAAAGGAGAAGAGTAAGGTCTTGAGCCTGGACTTTTGAACAGGCGCAGGGAGTCGACAGCACGGGCGGCGGGGGGATAGGAATTCCATACAACGAGGTTAGAGGCGAGTGACCATCCACTGAGCGAATGTTCATCGACTGGTTCAAAGTGATGAGAGTGGAGAGGTAGTAGAGTGCGTGGATGGGAGTAGAGTAAGATGAATGGGGAGTGGTAGGAGAGTGTGTGGATGGGAGTAGAGATGAATGGTGAGAGGTAGGAGAGTGCGTGGATGGGAGTAGAGATGAATGGGTAGAGGTAGGAGAGTGCGTGGATGGGAGTAGAGATGAATGGGGAGAGGTAGGAGAGTGCGTGGATGGGAGTAGAGATGAATGGGGAGAGGTAGGAGAGTGCGTGGATGGGAGTAGAGATGAATGGGGAGAGGTAGGAGAGTGCGTGGATGGGAGTAGAGATGAATGGGGAGAGGTAGGAGAGTGCGTGGATGGGAGTAGAGATGAATGGGGAGAGGTAGGAGAGTGCGTGGATGGGAGTAGAGATGAATGGGGAGAGGTAGGAGAGTGCGTGGATGGGAGTAGAGATGAATGGGGAGAGGTAGGAGAGTGTGTGGATGGGAGTAGAGATGAATGGGGAGAGGTAGGAGAGTGCGTGGATGGGAGTAGAGATGAATGGGGAGAGGTAGGAGAGTGTGTGGATGGGAGTAGAGATGAATGGGGAGAGGTAGGAGAGTGCGTGGGTGGGAGTAGAGATGAATGGGGAGAGGTAGGAGAGTGCGTGGATGGGAGTAGAGATGAATGGGGAGAGGTAGGAGAGTGTGTGGATGGGAGTAGAGATGAATGGGGAGAGGTAGGAGAGTGCGTGGATGGGAGTAGAGATGAATGGGGAGAGGTAGGAGAGTGCGTGGATGGGAGTAGAGATGAATGGGGAGAGGTAGGAGAGTGCGTGGATGGGAGTAGAGATGAATGGGGAGAGGTAGGAGAGTGTGTGGATGGGAGTAGAGATGAATGGGAAGAGGTAGGAGAGTGCGTGGGTGGGAGTAGAGTGAGATGAAGGCGGAGAGGTAGGCAAGGCTGAGTGAGTTAATGGAGGGCCTTAAATGTTGTTTCCGGCAATACCACGGGCAGTGAATAGATCGGAGTGTCGCGGTGATGTGGTCACATTTACAGGCGCGGTTGACGCCTGTACACGAATTGGTATTCAAGCAAGCGACCTCATAAACTCGTCGCCCGCAATTAAATCGCTTTCAACCCGCAGTCAGCCAGGGCGAGCTTTCTCCGTGGAAATCGTGCCTCTTTATTATCATCAATTCCACAATGCAAGAAGTGGCAAAAAGGGGAACTCGACGCGAGTTCACCGTAAATGACTTCCGATTGCCGCAGCCCACGCAGGGAAAGTACCCAGGTCTCGTGACGCGTTCTGCAGAGTGGCCCCTTATAAGCCCCGGACGCTATCGCGAAGAGCAACAGCAGCGGCATCAGCAGCAGGAGGAGGAACTTTGACGTCGAGCACAGCACTCGTGGGTTTTTGCTTCAACGAAGGCGGCTGAATACGGTGTTGGTTGCCATTGAGGTATTTTTCGCGAATCTCGATTGCTTCCATTTAAAAAAAAACATATATATACTGTATTCAGCTGGAATTATGTAGAAATGTCCGCGAAGCAGATGAAGCGTCACGTTGTGTTTGTGCTGCGTGCGCGATATTTAACCTACGAGGGTAAAGCGTTGCGGACACGCAGTCGGGCGATGGCGCTGCTGGCGCGGGCACGTGGGCTGCCTGTGATCCAGCCCTGGGGAGGCAATGGCCAGGGGTTGGTGGATCACCGCGCAGATGATGTTGTGAAACTCCCTCCCCCCCCCGTGGGTATGCCGTACCCTGTGAACCGACTCTCTACACGTGCGTTTTGTCCCGCTGCTCCGGTTTCCTCACACGCGTATGGGCACCAATTGGTTGCTTTAACACGTAGCAGGATTTCTCACGACCAATGTCATCCATAATTGAGGTTTTTTGGGGGGGGGGTTAAATCGCGTAAATGTGTGTCGTTAAAACCCGCCACCACCCGACACAGACAACTAGTAAGGGTTGTCACGTAAACAGATGGAGCAAGCTGTAATTACTGGCAAAACGTCGTACTCAGATTGTAAATGTTGTGGCTTGGCTCTCCAATACACCGGCGTGCTGTACTAGTGACGAATTAGCCACGTTCTGTTTACGTGACAACCCTTACTAGTTGGCTGTGTCCGGTGGTGGCGGCTTTTAACAACACGTTTATATTTTTACGAGATCTTACCCAAAAAAAACCCTCTATTATGGACTAACTGGTTGAAAGCACCTGCACCTAATGCTTGCGCCTCCGTGAGTCGCGGATCGTGCAGCAATGTGAGATGCAGCTTTGCGCGGATGACGCCGCTCTCTAGAAACACTGGTTAATTATTGTTATTAATTATTTAGAGTACCTGTGCAACAACACTTGAGGGGATGGCCCAGTTCCATGCGTGTCGTGACTGCGGTTCGCGTTGCGTGAACAGAATGCGGGCACGCCCGCGCACCTGACGTTGACGACTCTCTCGGAAGGGGCTTTCCAAAGACGAGGGCGAGGCATGACGCACCCCCCTCGCCCCCCTCTTGAATTAACTTCACACTCACTCGCCTTTGCGTCTTGTCCTCTCGCAGGTGTTCCGACTGCTGCAACGGCGATCGGTCCCGAGCGGAAATGGACGCCTTCAAGCTCCTGCTGGCCGTCTGCATCGTTGGTGCCATCTATGACCCTTCAGGTGATGACCTCTCTCGCAAGCAGCCACGGGTACGGCGAACGTAGATGCGCTCGCCCCGGCAGGGCCGATTTCGCAGTGCCAGGCTGAACTACGCGTCGCTGCTGCTGCTGTTGATTTTTAAAAAATGGGGTGGTTCTCGCCAATTATTATTATTTGTTTTGTTTATGCATATAACAGCGTCATTTCGTGCGATTTGAAATCTCAAAACGCTGTAGAACTTGTAACTCGTAAAGTTTACTCACAGAAGGTTTCGGCAAATGACGGACACGGGGGAAGGCAGTCGGAAGCTGTGCCAATGATTGCCCGAGCTCTGTGGTCCTATATTGTTGAACGCGCCCTCAACATGGGTGGAGGAATCAACAAGTAGAGTTCATGGAAACCAGTAATGATGGAAGTAGCGATAGAGGAGTAATAATGAAATGACTGACCCCCAGTGAGTGATCGGAGCAAATTGGTGAGTGCTGGATAATCAGTCACCCTGCCTGCTGTTTTTACATTGGATTCACTCCGGTGCAGCAGTGAGATAGGAACTGGGTTCTCCATCCCATGTGACAGCAGCAGAACCTCGACTTTGGCCGAATATATGCTCCGTATCGTGGTGATAATTGGAAGTGTGTGCGCGTGTGCTGCAGTGCTGGGCAGACAGGATGGAAGATGCCAATGCATCAATACAAGCAGAGCCAGGATCCCCATCAAGAGGATGGCAAAGATTGAGGTGTTCAAGAAGTCCCACAGCTGTAATTATCACGAAGTCATGTGAGTAATTTCACGAGTACATATCACGAAAACACACGAGCTATCACACCTACAAATGTACTCACACACACACGCACAGTAGACTCTAGATTATCCACGTGAGGTTTATCTGATTTGCGGATTAACAGCGTACCTGAGATTTTGACGTGAATTAATAACTCATGAATTTTCTCTAAAGCCCAAAATAAGAATCTAAAAACATTGATACATTGTTATTCTTGTACATTTTTACTACAAATCACGTGCTTAAACCAAACAAAAAATATGTTGCTCTAGTTAATCCGAAATCCACGTGATGGGCTCTACAGTACAGTAGCTGCATCTCTCTACAACGATGGGCGGAGTTTGATTGATGATGATTGGCGTGGCTATGCTGTCATCTACTTAGTGGGCTGCGCGGGAACAGGAAAGTGTTATCACTGAGCACGCGCGTAAATTGGTCGATCGTTAATATTGGTTCTAAGTGAGTGTGTTTTTGTATGGACTTTTGTAATAAAACAAGATCAAGACATTCTCGACTACAATGTTTTGTCTTGTTCATTAGTAAACTACATTTTCTTTACTTAAACACAATTTATACCTATGTTAGTGTTTTTTTGCATAGAGAAATGTATATATTTGGATTATCCGAGATTTTTAATTATCTGCGGCCGTCCTCACCGTCATTAGCGCGGATAATCGAGACTTTACTGTACCCACGCGTGCTTTGTCGACACGGCAGTGCAATGGGATCTAAATATCCACAGCCTGTTGTCAAAGCACATTCAGAGTTTGCAAAACCCATGTGGGGCTTGCGTTCGATTGCATCATTGCTGTGTTCTGTGTCTCGGACTAGAATTCCTGATGGGCATCCTGGGCTGCCTCGTGATCAGCTCTCTTTAGGACACCCACACAAACATAAATCTCCCGTATAGCCTTTCACAGGCTGTTGGGGCCAGTAATAGTAGCGAGTAGCACATGTGAAAGCGAAAGCCGGCATGACGAACGTGAGGACAAGATGGTGGTGATGCGGACATCGCCACGCCCAACTCCCTTTGTCTCCCGAGCGCACCGTTTACATATCGTGCAAGTTATTATTTTAAGGCTGGGTCGACCTAGAGGAGGCCCACGGCTGGTTCCGATATTACCCGTCACTCATCTTAGCCACGGCCGGGAATCGGACTCGGGTCAGTGGGTTCGTGGCTCGACGCTCGGACACATTGCGCCACGCGCGCGGTGCCACTAACATTGTCTCTGCGTCTTGTCTCAGCGTGACGAAGAGATCCGGGGTTACCGTCTGCCTTGACCCCACTGCCACGTGGGTGGTGGGACTCGTCAGCTGCACATTGCCACGGTGAGGGCCCCGTGCCGCGTGCGCTGCTGCCACTGCTGTCGTTGCGTAATGCGCTGCCCTAGTTGAGGAACCCGAGCTGAGTTATTTCAGGGAAATCGCCCACTAGAAGCATGCGCCTTCGTCAGTAGGTGATCACGCTAAAACATGTAACGTGGCCCTGTTCACAAGACTGTTCTGGATTTTATTTCAAAACGCTTGTGGGTTAAACGAAGTATCGGTAACACAAACCTGAATGACAAAAAAACTTGACACTAAGGTGAAATCGGACGGCACATTCGGAATAAATAAGAATCGGAATGCAGCATTAAACCAAATGTGAAATTAGTCATACTGTAAATGCAAACAGGGTTTAGATAGACGATTAAAAGTCAGTTGCACTTGGATGCACTTAGAATCGACGATAATTTAGAATCAAAATCGGCATCACAGGGTGCAATCGGGATCCAGAGTTAGTCCGATCGAGTAGCCCAACATGCAGAGAGGTTGACCATCCACAGACATTAAAATATGTAAATGATGAAAAAAGATTCATCACAACAGAAAATAAAGTACCGTACTGATGAGTCCTAATGGGTATGAAACCGGTATACAGTTGTCTATTTGTCTAACTGCTACCTTCGTTGGGACGGCCACGTTTTCTCACATCTTTGAGTAAGTGGCCTGAATGACAACATTGCCACCCCGAGTTCAGTTCTTTTGAACTGGTGGTCTGGATAAAGGCCGATAACTTTTGCGCATCCAATTCTTGCACACCCGGGTGTGTTGTTAAATTCGCACACGGTTGCCAATTCATAACAAATAAAACTGTTGAAAAACGCCTCGGGCACAAATTCGGCGTATTGTGCAGCACGTGACGTAGCGTGGTGTCCACACGTCCACCCCGCGATGCCCGCACCCCAACGAGCTGCCTCGCCCCCCCCGCTCTCACGCGAGGAGCGTCTGACCCGTTTGCCCAATTGTTTTTCAGCAACAACAGAAAACCCGGGTGGCACCAGCTGAAGAAGTGCACGTGGGACCTGAAGAAGAAGCGGCAGCAACAGAGAGCGGAGAGGCTGCAGCGTGGAAACTAACGGACATAGGGCCCCCCCCCCACCCACCGACCACCACCACCCCCCCACCCTGTCGATGGGGAGCGACGAGCGGCCGATACCGCCGTCCCTGTCCGATGGCTGCAGATGCCGGGCGCCCGTGGGTGAACGAGCACCGCCGGCCGGAGCTGCAGCGGGGCACGTGCTCGCGGCCACGCGGCCGGTCCCGTGTTGGTAGCCGACGTGGCCCCGATCCGGCCCGGCCGAGCCTCGTGCACGCGCCGCAGCTCGTCCGCATTTGCAGTCTTTTTTTAAGGTCAAATAGCTACAGCTGTGACGGTTGTGACGCAGCAGAGGATCTATTCTAGAAAACCCGAAAAGGTGTTGCTAACACAACTCCATGCTAACACCACTCCACTGATAATTATATTTTATTGTAGTAGTCGTTAAGCGTTTTTTTTTCACCTTGAAAACTTACCCGAATCTCGAGACACCTTTTTCAGGAGGGTTCTGCCAAAGCTCCCGTAGTACAGGGGGAAGATGTCTCGGTAAATGCGCCAGTGTGGAGACGGCCGCGTTCAGGCAAACGCACAGCGGTGGAGACACCGCTCGCAGCATCAGTCTCGGTCACCGTATGATCGGGCAGCCTCCGTGCATTGTCGTGGGCAGCCTCCGTGCATTGTCGTAGGCAACTGTGGTGTCTGTCATTGGGCGCCCCGTGGTATCCTGTGGGTCCCATAGGATTCCCGAGGACCAATGGGATTACTGTGGGTCTCATCGGATTCCTGTGGATCCCATGGGATTCCCGTGGATCCCATTGGATTCCCGTGGGTGCAATGGCATTCCATGGGACCCATTCGATTCCTGTAGGTCTCATAGTTTATTATGGGTTCTATAGATTATTGTGCCTGATTGTGGCACCTTTAGAATGCCTGCACATGGCAGTTGATATGCATGTGCTTCCCCTGGGCTCTGTAAAGCTAAAGGACACGTCTGTGAATTTGACATCACATCTCATTGGTTGCACTAGCCTCATGTATGCATAATCTCTCCACAGCGCCCATTAACTGTGTTTGCGAGTGACCACTCCTGGGGATATTTCCCGCTCGTTGCCTGTCCATGAACATTTTGTGTGAACTGTATTTGTATCATGACAACTGGATTGTTATATTTAATAATAACCGACTGCTGAATCTGCCCCTGGGTAGTTGTAAATAGACTATTTGGCGAACAGAAAATTGTATTCATGACGCTGATGTGCGGGAAGGAATTCGTTTTGTCCAATGTGTGTGTGTGTGCTATCTGTTGGCGTTATCCGCGTTATCTCTCTGTTACCTGTCTGGCTGATCTCTCTATTTTCGTATGCGCGTTTGCCAGTGTGTCTTTATCACTCTGCCTGTTAAACTCATTGTTTATACCGAAACCATTTTAATAAAAAAAATATGAAGTCTCGCCAAAATGTTCACGTTGCCTGAGTTTTTCCAGTGCTCCCACACAAGTGGTATCATACAAATGTAGTGAGTCATTCAGAGACTTTAGTAGGCAACAACGTTAATTCTACACTTTACGCAACACCGTTACACACGGGACTAAATACACCTATTCTCACTCCTGTTACGCCTAGGACCACAATACACCTATTTATCTTGCATACGGGATAACTATAAAATAACGAAACCCATCGAAACAGTTGAATATGTGCAGGATGGAAGCACACAAGTTACATCGGGCAAAGGTACGTTGCTCACAGAGAGCCGGAAGGCAAGACTTCTATCCATCCATACGGCTCGTTTGCGTGTCACGTGCCCACATACAAAAGGCTGAGAGCATTGCACACACACTGTGATTGGCATATATAGCACGTGACAAATATGCAAGGCATATATGATTGAGAGCCATGCATTCTTGCCGTTTGTGAGCACACCTTTGCATCTGATTAATTATGGCATGAGTTATGTTAGAATATGTGTTTCACACTGTGCAATTAACGTGCGCTCAGCAGATAAGTTTAACCTGATAATTCCAAGTTTGCATCTCATTAACCCCGTGAGATCGTGGGGTCGTAAAAAATGCCCCATTGCGGCAGGGTGCCCTCTTTTCAGCCGCCTTCCCATCGGGCCTTGCGAGGCATGGCCGAGGGAGGAGGAGGGAGGGAGGAGGAGGGAGGGAGCATAGGCAGGGCTTTGTGTGGTGCGAGCCACATTCATTTGGGGAAAACCCAGCATTCCTTCAGTGGAAATCACATTAATAATCGTGTTTTTTTATTCTTAAAAGCTTAGATGTTTTGCCAATTGCGTGTGAATGGGGGGAAAACTGCATCTGGCAAAGGAAATTCCGTGTGAATTCATGACGCATCTCCAGCGCTCCAGGCAGAAATACGGAGCAGATTCCGTGGGAGTCTTTTCATACAATTGTTGATGCCTGACATGTTTAAATATAATGTTATTCTGCTGCCGTGTGAAATACCATATTGGTCGCAGGCGACATGAACATCTCTGCCGCAGAGCCAAGGCTCACGCATTTGAGGACACTTCTCTCCAGGTGAGTTCAGCTACCACTGTGGCTTATTTTACTATATAAAAATTAACACAAATCCACACCGTTAACGCTGTCGCCACCAAACTTGGCAGGGTCACCTTTTAAACCCCCCGGAAACCCTTACCTACATGGCGAGTCGACATTTAAGAGAGTGGGGGGGGGGGGGGGTAGAGCCCCCCAAACGGAACCCCACACGCTCCCAGGGTCGTCACCATCCCTCACCTAGCACATATTAACCTGGCCCTGCACATCTAACAGCTACACGATGACCCCTCTCTTAAAGTTAAGCTAATCATTTCCGTTGATTACGAAATCCAAAAAACCCGTTGGTAATTCCAGTGAACGGTCAACCTTTCCGTGAGCACGCGCGCCGTCTTTCCATGTCGAGACAAGTAGCACGGCATCATTCACGCTTCCAAAAAAAAGATTACCTTCTGTAACTTTTTGGTTCTTTCGGTGAAGTCACGTAGAAAGAAAATGAAATAAATAATAGAATTCGACGTTTCGATTGCAACACAAGCAATCATCATCAGGTACGAATGAATGAGAACAACAACTTTTTTTTCGTACCTGATGATGATTGCTTGTTTTGCAATCGAAACGTCGTATTCCATTATTTAATTAATTTCCTTTCTACACGTGACTTTACCGAAAGAACCAAAAAGTAATTCCTGCAGTCACGAAAGCTCCAAATCAAGTTTACCTTCTGTAAGTTATTAACTTTTAAAGTATCTACATAAAAAAAACACGAAGGTTTAAATTACTTTCAATGCTTACACACTGATTTAAATGCATAGGTGTGTGTGTGTGTGTGATTGCGTGAGTGAGTGGATGCGTGATTGTCCAGGTGAGAGAGTGCGTGAATAGGTTGTCTGCATAAGTGTTCGAGTTTGTGAGTTCGTGGGGTGAGTATGCTAACACACGCGCAGTATTATATGCACAGATGTACGTTTAAAAAAAAACATTCTAAATATATTAATTTAAAAGACGATACTGCTGAAGTGCTACTGCTGATAATCATAATGATTCTACTGCTTAGGCTACTGCTGAAGATATTACTGCTGTTGATTATCAAACTATTAATGATGATACAATCACGTACCCCATTGTGACACGTTGTATTACATTTAATACAGGCCCCAATGGCACGGCAAAATCTTAACAGTTGCTGTAAACGCCATTGACCCCCTCCTTCTGAACACAGTGATTGAGCCACTCCACATTCACAAAAAAGATATACGAAAGTACCCGGGCAACGCCAGGTATTTTCCTGCCAGTCTATATATATATAAAAGGGACATTTGTGAATATGTGTGTCTGTTCGAAATGTTTAGCATACTTCCCAACATGCAACAAACTTGAAATTTGGCATGTGGGTAGCTTCCAGACTGTACACAATGCAAAAAAGATTTAAAAAAATAGACTTTTGTATTTGGGGGAGGGGGGAGGGCGCAATAATGGATATAATTTGCACGGCAAGTGAGCCGTGACGTCACATCTGTGATGTCACCCGCATGCGGCAGCGTTACGCAGTGTGCCTGCTGACGTCACGCATCCCCCCCCCACCCTCTCGGGTGAAGCCGGGTAGTGAAGCTCGTCATATTGTTGGTTCTTTTCGGTAAAGTCATGTAGAAGGGAAATAATAAAATCATACAAATGAAACAATAAAATTCTCACGACGTTTCGATTGCAACACAAGCAATCATAATCAGGTGTGAAAACCACACCTGATGATGGTTTCGAAACGTCGTGAGAATTGTATTTTTTCTTTTTATTATTTCCCCTCTCCGTGGTGACTTTACCGAAAGAACCAAGAATATGAATCCCTGCAGCCACGAAAGCTTTAAATCGAAATTTAAAGCTAGTCATTTATAAATGTTGAAAACATTTCCCGTGATATTATCGGGGCGGGGTGGGGGGGGAGTCAACTGAGAAAGTGTTGTTCTTAGGGGAGCTTGGGGACTGACACTGCAGTGGTTGTGCTCAGAGGATGCACCGTGTGGCCTCATTGCGTGAGCTTCGAGAACAAATGTTTAAGTTCGACCGAACTGTGCGCACTCTGTGAGGCCACGTTCTCGGTTACCCAGGAGAGGGCTTCAAGCTTGGGGGTGAGCCATGCAGTTATTTATTTATAGCCAGCTTTACTAAGAATCCTCGCTTGAAAAAGCAGCTTTTTTGTTCTGAGATTTCAGTTCCTCTATATCTGGTGGAAGCTGCCGTGGTGTGACAGCAGCACACTGGACTCGCTAATCCAGAGGTCGCCCATTTGATTTCGTCTTCCAGCGTGTCAGTTGAAACAATAATTTAAGTTTCTCAAATCCATCTCCCCACCGCCTCTGTCCACCCAGCAGTATAAATGAGTTCACCACAGGCGATCAGCAGGTGTCACGTGGCAGAGGGGGGGGTGTAGGTAATTCCCCATCTCCTCCAACACGTGCGGTCAATGTGGAAGAGTAGGCCAAATACCCTTCTGAGTTCGGTTGAGTGGAGGCCCTTTTCCAGCAGTGGCTTAGGCGAATAATTTGCAGGGCTTCGCATTCACCGTTTATGTTGCTGCACTTCCACTTGTTTCTGTTTGAAGTTACAATGCCAATTTCGTTGGAAGCAAATATCGAGTGCTTGAGACAAACACTGCAAACTTTTGAAAGTACTTGCCCACAATAAAAGGTATCCCAGCAACATTTGTTTAGCATGCCACGGCTTGCTGATCACTGCCAAAAAAAGTCGATACTCTTCCAAGCTTAATTTCATAAAAAAATGCCATGGGAAAACTTAATAAAAATGTAAAAAAAGTATATATTCATGTATTTACTCATTTGCTTTGTTGAACACCGGATACTTGTTTGGCGCTTATCAGTGAGGATAACCCCTTGACCCCACTGAGCAAAGGGGCTTTCCGTGCCCACTCGCTCGCTTTGTTTTTCAGGGCACAACACCGCTCGCATGGACTTTGGCTGTTGCCTGCATTGGGAGCAATGATGGCCCTTTGTGAACGCCTCCTGAGCGGCTCAGCAGGGGGTTTCCGTGGCGTCCAACAAAAGGTGCCGCCTTGTAGTGCTCCCTGCTAGCGGGGAGCGGTGGTGTCGCGGTCAGCGCGCTGCGCTACAAACCCGGCGGGCCGAGTTCGATTCCCGCTGACGGCCAACACTAAAGGCAATTATTTGAACCGATTCTGGGCCTCCCCTAGGTCGACTCAGTCTCAAAAATGAGTACCTAGTGCGGTATATAGTAAACATCACCACTGGGGAGACACGGACGGACGTGATGCTGCCCCCCCCCCCCACCCCCTTGTGTGCCATGCCGGCCTTCATAGGTGCTCGCTAACAGCACTTGTCCAAATAGTCTGTTAAAGCCATAGGGGGGACCTTTGTCTTTCGTTTTAAACATTGTTGCTGAGCGTAGACCGAAACGTCAAGCGGCCAGAAACAACCAGCATTCTCAAAGGTGTAACAGATATGAGTTAATGTTTCTTGGATTGAGCAAGGATGTTAGGGGCTTGGGAATAAGAGATAATGGGAGAGCATTCCAAAAGTCGAGCAGTGGAAGGGATAGAAGCGAGAAAGAGAAGTGTTGTGACCTGCAGTGTGGTGAGTGGGTGAGTGTGTTGTTGTGACCTGCACTATGGTGAGTGAGTGTGTTGTTGTGACCTGCAGTGTGGTGAGTGGGTGTGGTGTGACCTGCAGTGTGGTGAGTGAGTGTGGTGTGACCTGCAGTGTGGTGAGTGGGTGTGGTGTGACCTGCAGTGTGGTGAGTGAGTGTGGTGTGACCTGCAGTGTGGTGAGTGGGTGAGTGTGTTGTTGTGACCTGCACTATGGTGAGTGGGTGAGTGTGTTGTTGTGACCTGCACTATGGTGAGTGGGTGAGTGTGTTGTTGTGACCTACAGTGTGGTGAGTGGGTGAGTGTGTTGTTGTGACCTGCAC